ATTAAGTGATGAGACTGGCAACGTAGTGTCTTGGGTACAGTGCAACGCAAACCCTTGATAATTTTTAGCAGGCCAACGGAGATAGTGTTTTGTCAAGAGCCCAGGTTTTTCGGTGGGTTAAGGTATTGTCAGAGGGAGAGAGTCGATTGAAGATGAACCACGAAGCGGAACGCCTTCATCTTCAAGAACCGACTAAATTTGACTCGCACCGCCATTCATCAGATCAAGAATAACTGGGTGTTGCATAACGATAATGCTCCTTGTAATACAGAAATGTCAATAAACGATTTTTTGGCCAGTAAAAACATTCCTGTGGCTCCTCAGCCTCCTTATTCGCCTGACTTGAGTCCTTGTGACTTTATTTCTTCTCTTTTCTGTCTCATTTTGGGGCAGTCGAAAACATCCAAACGGCTGAAACCGACCAGCTGAATACTATAATATAAATTGTAATTATATTTGAATAAAACAATTAAAAAATCAGGCTCATCACATAATTTACAGACCTCGTAGTAAAAAAGTGTTGTTTTATTAATATCGTGAAGGATATTTTCTAAATAAATGCGTTGTTAGGAGGTGTGAGTTCTTAGTGTACAAAAGACACAACAAAATATGACTCTCCACACACATCTAGTTTGACAATTCTGTCAGAATTGTGTGTCACGTTGACGTAATAGATATTCGTGAAAAAGATTCTACTGCAGTACTTCTTGATTAAATATTAGTACGCCAGTAGACCACAGCAATTTAGGGAGAATGTAAGATGCGCAGCGAGAATGCCAAATTCTTCCCAATTACTATATCTCCCATTCTGAATTAAGTAAGGATTAATCAAAACGATTCTACCTTGCACCATTATTTTTGTAACCACTTTAGGACTTTAATAAACATTTTTATTTTAATAATTATTATCATGAATCATATCTGGAACAAAAAATAGAGTAGCCTGGCGCCATTTTATATGTTGCAACGATATTACAAAAACTAGTCGGTTGAAATTACATGGTTTTTGTCTGCATCTGTTGTTTCATTACCAGCTATCTCATTATCTATCTCTCCCAGACATATTCTATCCAAACCAAAGAAAAAGTATTAATAACAGGCTATTTTTAGCAGCAAAGTCCACAGCCTCGCTTGCCACCAGAGGCACAGAAATTGCTTTAAAACAACTAAAAAAATATTTATAGTATTAATACACTTTAACTGGGATACTAGTTAATATTATCTACATACATTATTTATTTTTTATGTTCAGCATTAGTCATACTACTGCTATACGGCTTTTGTTTAGTCTTCGATGCCTGCAATTTATGTTTTTTGTTATCTGGTCGATGGCGTTATACATGCAAAAAGTAATCAGATATTTGCCATTAATTTTATCATTATATGTAAATAGGTGCATATTAAAAGTGTCAAGGAACCTATTAGTCAACGATCCCATGTATCATTACAGAATATGATACCGATTATTATTCTCTTCTAAATTTTGAAAGTTTTAAAATTAAAAGCTTGTTTAAGAACCATTCTTCAAATGTCAATCAATCCTTGAAGAATTTCTATAAATGTGATCCTTATGCCCGATTTTATTATTGGCCCGCCTGGATTAATATTTGCTACTGGGGAGTACATATCTCTCAAAGTAGCAAAAAATTATACGATTTGTATGAAAAAGACCATCTAATCCCCATATTATATCAATAAATTATTTCTAAATCATGGAGCTGTCTACTGTTTTTATTGAAAGTTTATAACTCCTTTGTTATTAAAAATAACTTTTTCGCACTCTTGTTTTCATTTTTCTTGAATTTCCATTCCATCTGATACCAAAAATGAACTTCTCCATCGCATTATAAAATTAACAGAAAAGTCATTTTTGGCATTTATGAAGATACAGTAAAACGTTATCGGTCTGCTACAGACACCGCAGCCCAATCAGCAAAAATTGATAATTCCTGCATGGGTGCATACATCATTTGTTCGTATTACCAGTTCCAACTTCTCCTCTCAAGTAGTTCTCGTTCATGAATTCAATTTTTGAAGATGCGTAAATACAAATATAGTCCTCTCATCAAATAATTCATGTTGTGTGGACTAACGCCTAAGGAAATTCTTCCGAAGTTGAAGACAGCTCGACTGTGCGAAATATCTTGGGGATGCACAAATATTTCTCAGCAATGTTTGAACCATTTAATAAGGAGCCATCCGCACGGGTATTAAATATCTTGAAAGTGACATTATATCGATTGTTTTTGGCATTGCATCGGTTTTTCTAAAATGTTAACTTAGCACTAGCAGATGGACACGTTGTGATCTAGTTTTGTAGTTGTACGTGTTGCCTAAACGTTATGAGGCTTGTTATCAATCTTTGGCTCTGATGTGATGTAAAATCTGCTTCTGAGACGGCGTTACTGGAGGTCTAAGCTGTAAGATGTATGTATGTTTACTATAGCTAGAAGGAGACGGCAATGCATAGGTGCATAGAAAGGATTTGTGTGCTAATAGTAATATGTCTTGATAATTCCATTGGATACTTGTCTCAAATACACTTACTTGAGATTCAAAGCTAGAAATTAGTTGCGCATCCACTTATCCATTCTGGACATAACAGATACAAATTTGCTGAATTTCAAAAATGAGAGAGATAAGAAATAATTATATGCACTGTAGTACACTGTCGAATTACAAGTCATATACATGCTAACAACACACAACGCGGACGCGGTGGTAATTTCCCGAATTCTCCTCAAAGTTTTTGAAAACACAAAAAAACGTAAAAAATTGTAATTTTTAACTTTGAACATAACCGGTCTTCAAAAAGGGCAACATATAAATAACCCGTCGGGCACAACTAATGGATGTACTTCATTGGCAGCATATTCAGTAATACACATAATCATCCAGATGCGATCTTGCTATTCAACCACCTTTCTTCTCACAGATGAAAACTACAGACCACTCGGCTTTACAAAACATATGCAACCAACAATGCGTGTAGTTGAGTCATTCCTCCATAGATGGACGCTCACAACGATCCTAATGGGCAAACGTGGAATGATCCTAACATGCACCCTAAAAACTACCTAGTCTGCAAGATGACATTTTATAGTTTTTTACATAATACCCGTCCCGATTGATTGTATACAGCGATTCGTTGCCATATATAAGATATGAAATCACCACTAAATGCCAGAAACAAAACAGCAGTCGAAGCAGCGAGTGAAAGCCTATGGTTCAGCGCGAAAGAGAGCAGTCGATTGGACTGGAAAGGTCATGGCCAGCGCGTATTTGGGATGCGAAAGGGATTCTGTTGTTACATTGAAAAAGCGTAGAACAATTGCGGGTGAATATTATTCCAACATCCTTGATCAAATGCAAGCCAAAATGCGTGAGAGAAAAAGAAAATTTTCATCAGGACACGCACTTTTTTAAAGGTGTGTTATCATGCGATAACTGCAGGACTTGGATTATGATTTGCTCGACCATCCCTCTTTGCCTTAGATTTCCAAGCTATTCCCAGATTTGAAGAAAATTCTTTCTGGATGCTCTTTGGTCCGATGAAGAAGTTGAGAGAATTGTAGATTAATATTTCAACAGCTTCCGGACTTCCACTTCCAGGAAGAAATCCTGTTGGAGAAACGTTGGACCAAGTGTGTTGCAGTTTGTTGATTATGTAAAAAATGAAATCATTTTTTAACTGAAAATTGCAGAACTTCCACCCTGCTCTCGTATATCAACAGATGTATAGAAACAGAACACTTCGGCATAATGTACAAAGACCAAAAGAGCGTAATACACTGTGTGATTATGGCTTTAGCTTCTAAACCACATCTGATATGCCATAAACATATCACGCACTGTGCACCGTTACATAAATGCCATGTTTTTGCCAGCAATCAATCGGATTTTCTGATATTACCATTATGAATATTTAATGAATAATGTATGATATATGTAAATACATCCGATATACAAAGTTATTTTATTAATTGCTAAGTTAATACCAGCTTTGGAAGCAGTAAGAAGTACAGGTTGTTATGGCGGCAAAAAGTCTATTAGTGCTTGGTTGATCAAGTTTAAAAGGCTTGATGGATACATGTATGCCAAATGCTGTCATCCGGCAACTATGAATGAGACCTCCTTCTACTATTTTCCACGGGCTGAAGAGTCGGTAGAAAGAATGAAGCCTATGCAAATTTTCTTCCCACCACAGACCAAGTATTACAAAAGGACCACATTCTATAGTTTAATCAAAAAACTTCATTTTGAGTATAGAAAACGGGACAGAAATAGTATTTGATGAGAGAAAGAAAGAAGAAAGACAGAAATTCAACAATAAAAGACATTAGTTTCAATGAAAATATGTTCAAAGCTGAACTTATCCATCTAAACAGGCATCACAAATTAATACATATAAGTCCTTAATGTTATTGACGAAATGGCTAACAACCAAAATAAGACCGTTTTAAGGCTAACCACTTATCAACTGCGAATAAAATCCCAATGATTTGGGCAAAGATAAAAAAGTATGTGGCTTCAAACAATTTTCAAATTTTCTGAAGTGAAAAATATGTTTTATGAACCTGTCAACAGAGTACCCTTTTGGCCATGTTGTGTTTTGTCTGGGCGTAAATGGACTACGAATGGGGTATAGCTAAGCACACTACAGAGAAAATCTCTTGAATTTTGACTACTGGAGCTTTTCGTGCCGCACCAACTGCTGTTATGGAGGTTCTTAACTTACTTCCCTTGCACATATACCTGGAAGGCCAGGCAAGAAGGACAACCTACAACCTACAACAACACTATGGATTAAACGGACATGATGGTGGTACAGAGCCACCACAATCTGGGAATGCCTTCCGACATAATATCAAAAACATCCTAAACCCTAGTCAGTGATAACTACTCAAACGAAAAAAATATATGTGCATGCACAAATGACTCCAAGACCAAAATGTTAAAAATATTAAACGGGTGGAAAATGAGCAAACTTGCAATTCTCTTTCAAAATGCGGAAATTTTGACACCAGAAAAGACCTAGAACGACAGAAGCAAGTTCTGTTGACGTCGCGCGATCCCTGTATCATTCTGAGGGGCTATGGTAGCCGGGGGTAACAGCTGATATCGACGGAACTGAGGTATTCTGATGGACGTCCATTGTGGCGTTTGTCACAAAAGTCTTGGGGTTAGTTCCAGTCGTAACATTCTATCATGTCGACGATGGAATACTCTTCATAGAGTTTTCTAAAGCTTGTAGTGTGATCTCAGCTTCATAATTTCCTAAGTACAGTGAGTATAAAAAGTATTCGGTCAGCACTTCTTTGCAGCTACTAATGCTATATGTGGTCCATTGAAGTTGTTTTTGGACTCAATATGGAATTAGCACAATCATCAACTGTCCCGGTTAAAGTTCACTAAATGAAAGAACGATGAATTGTTTCCACTGGTCAGAAAAGTAATCCAACAGTCGGAAACGCGAAAACGCTATGTATGTATGACAAATTGACATGTGTGCGCATTTTTCGTAGCGAACCGGTGTGTGCGCTGTGAGGCGACACATTTTTGTCTGAGCGGTGATCACCATGGGAGGGAAGAAGACTGAGACGACTATAGCTGAGCGACATCTGATTATTAGAATCCATAATAAGTGCAAATCTCTGAATGAGAGAGACCAAGATCAATTGTATACGATGTATAGTAATTAATCGGACCAAGACTGTTCAAAACAATCCCCGAAGTGGGCGTCCACGAAAACTGACCGATACTGACAGACGATTTCTCGTGCCGGAGATCAAGAAGAACTCCAAAATAAGCGCTCCCAAGGTAACTATTGACCTGCAGATGTATCTGCGAGTACTGCCCGGAAATCGTTGAAAGAAAACGGGTACCACGGCCGAGTAGCGAGGAGGAAGCCATGGATAAGTGTGGTCAATCGCAAGAAGCGGGTGAATTTCGCACGGGAAAATTAATCTGAGCCTCTAGAGTACTGGAACCGAGTTATTTTTACTGACGAGAGCAAGTACAACATATTCTTCTCTGATGGTCGCCAAGTGGTGTGGCGTCAGAAGAATACTGAGCTAGATCCAAAAAACTTGAAAGCAACAGTGAAACATGGGGGTGGTTCTGTAATGGTTTGGGGGTGCATGAGCTCGTCTGGTGTGGGTAATTTACGCTTTAGGGAAGGAATCATGGACCACAAGATGTATATCGACATACTGAAGCAGAATTTGTTGACTCGTGCTGAAACAATGGGACTGAGAAACATCTTTATATTCCAACAGGACAATGACCCAAAACACACAGCAAAGAATACAACGCTTTGGATCGTGTATAACACACCAAAACAGCTGAACACCCCTCCAAAATCACCAGAAATGAATCCCACCGAGTATTTGTGGAGTATTCTGGAATCAAAAATAAGAGAAAGGCACATCTCCAACAAAAATGATCTCAAGCATGCTTTGCTAGAATAATGGAACATAATATCTTCTACTACATCAAGATTGGTTCACGCAATGCCAAATCGCCTCCAAGCAGTCCAGAAGACCAAAAGGAATGCCATAAAATACTGAGTATAACATACGTGTCGATTATGTCTTCATCTAATCTGAAATTTCTAGTTGTCGAATACTTTTTGAGAGTCAATAAATGTTATTTTGCTTTTATGTTTAAAGTTTCGATGTTTACTTTTTGTTGTTGTTATTGTTGGGTACACATGAATAAAGAGAGTTTATAATACATAATACAATACAAGTCAGAAACAACCCTGCAATACAACGAAAATGGCATTTTTTAGCTAACACGAGGGATGTCCGAATGCTTGTTGCACTCACTGTACATCAGATTCAACTTGTGTTGGAATAACGAGGTCGAATACATACACATAAACAGATCACTGCAACAAAAACTACAACATGCATTTACCGGTTCTGCAAAGCGACCAGCGTTCTGCAGAGATGCAGTAAGAGAAAGACGACCTGCAGAAATTGTGGAACGGAGATAGATAAACGTAAGTATGCAATTATAGAGTGTGTAAAAACTCTCTTTCCGCTCGGGTTTAATCGGCAGTGTTGCCGATAGAGGACGCTTGCGCATCAGAGAAGAAAATATCGAGGTTTGTGCTACTCATACTTTAAAAATAAAAATAAATATTCCCACAACATACTTCATAAAGATCAAAAGTTACTGGGTGGTGAAATTAGCTCCCACTACTTTGAGTTTTTACTCCTGCTGTGGCACTTCGTGTCCTATCGTATTCAACATGTCTACACGATTCTATCGAATCGCTGACACTTTTGAGCTGTCGCGTGCGGTGATTTCATGGCTGCTTTCTTCAGTGGTTTTTAGTTTGAGAGTGATATGCTCTTAAACTGCTCTGAAAAGCGTGTATGGCAATACAAACTATATTGATACTGAACACAACTGAGTCACTCTGAGCAACTCAATTGGGTCACTGGAAATCAGCTCAGGTTAGGTGGAAAAGAGACACATAATGCGCCACTTATTTGTCGAAAGTGGCAAAAGGACCACTCTCTTCTCGCATCACCTTTTTCTCTAGATTTTCCACTCTGGTTGCTTCCAAACTATCTTCCTCCTTCTCTTCCAGAATCTTCCAGATTATTGGGAGATATGAAGTTATTCGGAAATAAATCGTATCACTTTGAGCTCAAACAATACAGTACCCAAAAATAACCACACTAACGAAATATTACAATTTGCACTCATTTGACATTTGACGCCCACCATTACTAGCTTAACATGATATAGTTGTAGTCACCATTCTTGGCGGTTACGTCATCAACGCCACATGAAATAAGTAAATAGATCGAGTCTCCATACCATGGACGGATCTACTATTGCTACTCTCTCCAGTACGTATGAAGTGGGTAACAGGGGACCGCTCTTTTCATACTTTTCCTGGAAATACTCTAATGAATTTAGCCCGAACTGACGGCCTTCTCCATTGATCGTATTTCCGGGCATTGTATAATTATATATTGAAGATTGATAAGACAACTCAAATTACACGCCGATGTCAAGTAAGTTGTCTGACAAACTTGATTGAAGGGCACTCATACGTAACGACAAAGTTTTCGAGACGGAGACACAACTAAAAAACGTATGTCTTTGAGCTTATCGAACAAACGCTCACGTACAGGGGTAGGTTGGATGCGTATGCTTGAGGGAGATGGAGATATATAAAGGGATACTGATAGTCTTATTTCGACCCGCAGAACGGTGACTACAACTATATAGTAATGTTATTAAATTTGCCTAACATAGCCGAAGAGCAAGCGACAGAGACATGGAGTGCCCACAAACCCAACTATCGACAACGCAAATAGAAACCTATTGTAGATAACGACAGGTCGAATTCTATAGTTTACGGATTCTCAATGCTGACCTTGACTTTTCGTGGGAACCAGCAGCAATTTTTCTCAGGGGGCGCACTAAAACATCGGCATTTTTTATATATTATGATTAGATAGAAAGCTTAATTTTCGGGGATAAGAGGTCTTGCAAAATTTTGAAAAACAAAAGACGGAAAGGGAAATCAACTAGAAGCCACCGACCAGGTTTAAGGCATACGTTTTCACTACATTGCTCGGGTTACCAATCCCTTAATTTCTGCTCATTTTCCTTTATTGCGAAGATGCCCACTATTGTCCTTTTAACTATAGGGGATGACCCACGGCTCACCTTTGAGGTAATTTTATCTCGGTCTGCAGTTCTTGACCGTGTTAGACGTAACTCCATCTTTTGCATGCTTTGGCAACCTTGTAAGCTATTGGCCTCATGCCTCGATGCTCCAGGTGGTTTTTTCAAATCAGAACGGTTGGCGTTGGTGAAAAACGTTGAAAATGATCCATAATTACATACAGCTACGATAGCCATAGTAATAATTTCATAAAATTATCGATCTTCGAATGCGTGCTTTGGGAGATAAACGAGCATTAGTAGTTATTCTTTATAAAAATCTTAATGTGTATAACTGCATCGGTAATTTTGATAACACTTTTTTGTGGGCTAATGGTCAGACAGCTGCATTCATGTGTTTATACGGAGTTGCAAGAATCCTATTCCGTATCTTAATGGTTTAAAAACAATAGATTTATAAAATAAAAACAGACTGCTTGATATGTGAGATTTCTTGTGTCGAGTCCTGTA